ATGCTACCTCAGGAAAAAATTCATTTAAAATGTTCTAATTCGATTAGGAAAAAAAAACAAAATATTTTTTTTAGATCTAATGTTTGTGAACACGCAGGCAAAAAAACCCAATGAATTTACATGAGCGATAAGTGCGGTATTCATTACGTAAGACATGTCAATAAAATCCAATATGGCGGCGTATCCATGGAAACGAAACTTTTTTTCTCAAATTTGATTGCAGATTTTAAGACTCCTTACTATGCTTGTTATATGTGCGAAATTTGGTAAAATTCGGCCCAGTAATAAGCGAGATAGCCTCCAGGTGTAGCCCCCCCCCTTAAATAACTACTATAAAAGAAAAACATCTTCTGCTTTCTGTACCCAGCATAAAAGAGACATTGGCGATCATGTTTTGCCATTTATTTTTATGCTCCTTTAATATTATGTATCGTCCAGGTCTTTTCCCATTACAAATCTGCTTATGTTTTACTCAGTAAATAATAAGCTATTCTCAGTCTATGTAAGTCCAAGTAGATCTTCCTTTTTTTTGCCTAAAGGCGACTTTTCACTAAGACTTAGACAAAAAAAATCAACCTCTGACTCTTTTGCCTAAGGACGAATTACCACAAAGTGTACTTGACTTTGCTCAAAGACAGATAACTACATTGTCTACCTGATTTACCACACAGACGAATTATCACAAAGATAAAGTACCGCAAAGACGAATTACCACATTGTCTCCCCGACTAGCCTCGAATACGAATTACAACAAAGTCTTCCAGACTTACCATATAGATCAGTGGTTTTCAAAGTGGGCGCTACCGCCCCCAGGGGGGCGGTGGTGACAGTTTGGGGGCCGCTGTGGCGAAATTGGGCGATTGGGGGGCGCTAGTGAGCGTCAAGGGGGCAGTGTGAAATTTTCGTGAAATGCAAAAAAAAAAAAAAAAAAGAAAAAAGAAAAAGAAGCCACACACACAAAAAAAACTTATACATGTAACATTTAAAGAAAGCTTAGGCATAGTTTACAATACTATTTAAAACTAAGAACTTTCTTTCCCAGTTACAAAGCCCATCAAAAGAGGATTCATCCCGCCAAATCTGACAAAGATCTGGCATACTTCAAAACCATAAAGATCAATTTTCAGAAACTAATAACAGTTAAATCGATGTTTGCAGCCAGCGTCGATCAAGCAGATGAAGGCTTAAGAGCAACGTTATCATTTATTACTGCTAATTGCAAAGGCAGGCAAATCCCATACTATTGGTCAGGACCTCATGATTACTACCTGTGATCAGAGAGGTGGTCAGCACAGTCCTGCACCGTGTCCCGATGCCTGTGTTGAAAGTTCTCCCACTAGGTGACAATACCGTTCAAAAACATATTGATGAGATGTCAGCATATTATGTCGAGGAATCATTGTGCAAAAGGCTTAAGTTTAAAGGACGTGAGTTCAGTCTTCATCTGGATATCGGTTCATAGAGGGTGAGGAAATAATACAAGAATTGTTATTTGCGATAATGTTGGAAACATACCAAAGGCAAGTCCATTTTCAAAGTGGTCCAAATTTTTTTACAGGAGAAACATATCCCTCTGACTAATGTAGTTGCCTGTGCAACAGATGGGGCACCGTTGATGACAGGTCGTTACCGTGGATTTACGAACTTCTTGAAGAAATCAATCACTGTAGTACTTACCGTTCACTGTGTTATTCACAGACTGAATTTGGTGGCAAAAAAACCCTGAGTGACAGCCTGCATTACACACAAGGTTCGTCCATAGAGCATGGTCGTGCAGTGCCGCCCAAACTTTTTTAATGTTCTATTACGTAAAACACCCACAATAATAAAATAAAAGGAGCCAGAAACAAACATTAGCCAAATATTATATCACAACAAAAGTCCTCACTGGCGCCATAACTGTCATTTCTATGTATATAGCGCCGTAAAACATCTACTATGCCATGCGGTACATTAATATTAATAAGCCTGCACATCTCAAATGTGCCCCTGCCGAATAGTGCCAAAACATAGCCCGCAGTAGGCAGTATAAAAATAAACACGATAGACCCACGCTATTCTTTGCCTATATTATGTGAGCCCCGGAGCAATCCAGCGGAGTGCTCAAGTGAATTGTGATTGGTTCATTGTTTTAAGTGACTCTGTAACCGTGAACCTGATCAGGGAGGTGAACGTGACCGTCCTATGAGTTGTGCCTTTGAATGGTTTTGTAGTGGAGTAGTGAAAGTTATTACATGTACTTGAGTGTTCAGTTCCAATACAGGATGAACGAAATTGATGTTTAGTTAACAAACAAATTTAGTACTAGAAATCATAGCGACAAGTAAAAAGAATTAAAATAAAAGCACGAGGCCTTCCTTCACTAACTCAAAGATCCAAAAATTATACACCGTCTCATTTACTATGCCCTTGACTATCTTCAGCATGTGATAGCTTAATTATTTTTGTGCACGCCCACTTTTTAGCCCCACCAGCCGCCCCTGACACAGACCATTGTCATCAAAAGTTTGAACAAGATCAAAGCCGAAGCTTTGAACCGGTGGCTCTCAAAAGGAAACTGTTTAACACGATTGTTCTGCCTGTTTGACTCTGTGCTGAGTTTTCTTCAAGGAACAGTGATTTCTGTAATAAACTAAAAGAACACAAGAAGAACATTGCGTTCCTTACAGGTCTTTTCACAAAGTTCAACCAGTTCAACTTGCAGCTGCAGGGGAATGACACCAACCTGATCACAAGGCGAAATCCACGCTTTCGTCATTCTTGTCAATTTTCCGCCGAACGATTGACAGAAGAGAATTTGCTCAATTTCCAAGCTTGGCGGAGACACTGAAAGAAGGGTGTGTGTCTGACGAGGAACTAGAAATATTATACCAACCACCTCAGAGGTTTCCATGCTAATATGAAGACAAGGGTTACTGATATTTTTCTAAACTGGAAATTGTAGACTGGGTACTGTCCCCCGTTCAACACTGAAACAAATGGTAACTTGCCAGTAGCAATTGAAGAAGAGTTTCTGACAATGAAAAGTGACTTTGAAACCAAAAAATTGTTCCAGAAGTCGTACCAGTCATTCTGGGTGAAAACTGTTGTGCAAGACAAATTATCCCTCCCTGTGGGAAGCGACCAAGTTGCTGTTCATCGCTTTTCCCACATCATTTCTTGTAGAAAGGGGATTCAGTACAGTGACAAGGTTGCTGACGATCATAGAGCGTGGTGATTTGCCTCTGCTACTATCCAATGTGAAACCTGATGTTGATAAGTTGGTTTCGTGTCACCAGGTCCACCACATTAGGGCAGTGTCAATGACTTTTGTATGTATTATGTGCACTTGCTGCCACTGCTGATGAAACTGATGTTAATTGTAATGATGATGATGATGACGATGATTGTGATGATAACAGACACAGATCCATGCATATGTACTTTTTCTTTCTTGTGGTTTCTCATATTTGAATAACTTAATATACATTTTTATGTTCTGCAATGGAGATATTTGATATACAAGCCACAGACCACTTTATTGCAGCACGTTGTAGGGAGAAAACGTTTCATAAAGATAATGCCAATCTGTTTTCACACCAATGATCACTGATTTTCTTGCGATTTTTTTTCTTTATAAAATGTAATATGTGATAATACATATATTACTTTTATTGGTGTAAATGACCCTGGTCATTTAATACCGACGACAACTAAATGTATAAAATTACAGCATTGTGTTCTCAATGCACTTGCATAATACTGAAGACAAAATGTCTTTTAATATCTCTCGTACCTGTACACGCATAACTTAGATTCTATAAAGTGACCCAAGTAATGTTTCTATTCAGAACCAAATCATTAGAATTTACGCACGTTCTTTTGTACCCTGCTGTTTGAGCTCTCTCTCTATTTGTGATTGTATGCATATCGCTATGTCAGATTGATGGGTGGGGAGGAGTAGGGGGCGCTGGGACTCGGCTGGGTGAAAAAGGGGGCGGTGGGCGAAAAAAAGTTTGAAAACCACTGATATAGATGGTCTCAAATTACCACAAAAACAAATTACAACACAGTCTACCCGGCTTACCACAAAGACGAATTTCCACAGAGATTAATTACCACATTGTCTACCTGACTTACCATTCCACAAAGACGGCTTACAGCAAAGTCTACCCGATAGTTGTGGGCAAAATCCGGATAATCTATAAGGATTACCGGATAATTCTCAATGAAACATTGTCTGAATTCAGACTCTTAACTCTCTTTCCTGACCCGTCTGCCGAAGTGGGTGCACCGATTTGTTGAAGTAGTGCTAACCGTTTGTCGAAGTGGTTCTAACCCATTTGCCGAAGTGGTTCATGTCATATTATTTGCACAAAGAGATGCACTAACATTATTATCCGGATTTTGCTAAAGCAACTGTTTGCCCAGCCCTACTACCCGACTTAACAAAAAGATGACTTACCACAAAGACGGCTTACCACAAAAGCGAATTACGGCACAGTGTGACCATTTTTATCACAAAGACGACTAACAGCAAAGTCTACCCAACTTACCACAAAGACGGCTTACCACAAAAATGACTCACCACAAAGTCTACCGGACTTACGAAAAGTCTACCTCTGCTTCTTTATTTTGCCGAAATAGGACTTTAAACTTTAACTTTAAATACTGCAATGTCCTTCGTCAACAGGTCAACTAGCAGAGATCCGTGATCAGACTCTGGCTTCCGTGATGTGCAGGAACACCAAGGTGCGGGAACTCCAGGAGCACATGATGTTTGTTAATGGGACCAGTAACCCTCTGATCCCCTGTGAAGACATGCCTAAGATCGACTTCACCAAATGGAAAGAAAACCCGTTGTAAAGGAGAAGTAGAATTATAATTTATGTACTGGTCAATAGATGGTGTTGTCGAAGGGCTATGTTTGGTTTTTTCAAATTTGTTTTTGTTTTGTCTTTATCGGTTTTTCTATTCTTTTTTCTTTTTTTTGGGGGGGGGGGGGGCGCTGTGAGCATCTTACCACAGCGGGTGAGTGCTGAACTCTTACAAAGACTAAGAGATACAGAGAACTTGACCACCCTACTTTCATTCATTCACTCACACACATACACACACACACACACACACACACACCTACACACACACACACACACACACACACACACACACACACACACACACACACACATACACAAATACACAAACACACACACAAACACACAAACAAACACACAAACACACAAACACACACATAAACAGACAAGCACTCAATCATACACACATACAGTTACACACACACACACACACACACACACACACACACATACGCACACGCTCACCCTTACATCACGTTATATCCTTGAGGAGGGATGATTGTGGTGGGAGGGGAGGAGGTGGTCGGGGGAGGGAGGATACGGATGATCAGACCAATCTTCAATCTGTTGCAATCTGGGTAGGGCGTATGTGAGGCTGAACCAGACTGGGAGGGGACCTTCTCTCTGTCTTTTCTCAGCGGCCTTCTCTGCTCTTTGTATCTGATTTGTCTCGCTTCGTTCTTTTTAAAAGTAGGCGTTTTTACGAGCATGTTGACACAATTCCAATCAGTTAGGATGCGGGCTTTTGGAACCTGTCCGCCAGGGCTAAAAAGGGATGCAACATGCCAGCACAAAGACCGTAATACTCAATAAAAATTCTTTGTCTCAGGAATCGAACTCACATTTTCTGCACATGACAACAAAACACTTCACCGCTACACCAGCTCTTTAAATTCAGCAGCTCCAGATCTTTTTAAGGAGTGGCAGACAGGGATAAGATTAGAATTTAAATCAGAATGCTTTTCCTTCCAAAGATTCTCTATGATGATGATAATAATAATAATAATAATAATAATAATAATAATAATAATAATAATAATAATAATAATAATAATAATGATGATGACAACGACGACGACGATGATGATGATGATGATGATGATGATGATGATGATGATGATGATGATGATGATGATGATGATGATGATGATGATGATTGTGATAAATTGCATTTATGCAGCGCTCTATCCCATGCCAATATAAGCTCAGGGCGCTTTACATCAATCACGTGATCACTGAAAAGTAATAATTCATTCACACAGAATAAAGTATTTCACAGTAATAAGAAAAATAAGTTCAACCACATAAAGAAAAACCAACAAAACCCATACATGTAAGGAAAGCACATAACATATCAGCACTTACAAACACACTATAATTGTCATGTAATAGTTACAGTTTCATAATAAGAGTGACCTTTCAGGGCTGGAGGGGCACCTAAAGGCTATCTAAGCTATTACAAACCCTAGAGAGCTCATATTTGCTGTGGGACATCATATCGGCGGCCCAGAGTACAAGTGCCGTATGTCCACCTTTACTGAATTTCGAGATAAGACTGCTCATGCACTCAAATTCCTGTGTGTTGAGTCCCCAATACGTTTGTAGGCCTGAGTACAGTATTTGTTGAGATATTCAGAACCCACTTGTCGTTTGTCTAAAGCAGATTAAAAGAGAAGAGAGTACAATTGTCGGAACTCCATAAGAATTAATTTCGATACTTTTTGTTTTGTCGTATCTCCATTTGAGCCAATGAGATGAGAGAATGCTGTCACATGATTTTGTGGGCAAAGCAAAATAGCGTCGTCTAGAAAAGGACTGCTCAGCGATCAAAAGACACTAAAAGTGCATGTTCATTGAATTTGAAAGAGTGTTTTGATGAGTGTGTCTGTATGACCCAAATTCGTTAAATTCTATTTTAGTCATTGTTTTGGAATCATCAGCGCACTCTTAATTGTTTTGTTTGTGTAGTGCCTGCATAGACATTGTTGGTGCCTCTTCTTTTAACTTTAGTTGTGGTTCAGTGCCTGGGATTGGGAGGGGGTGGGGGTCCCCAAAGCTTGGGTCTTTCTATTTTTGTTGTCCTTTGTTGTGCTACAGATTGCTTGTTTTTCTACCCTCTCTGTGAGTTGAGTATGGTCGGTCCCAGAGTGCCTCTGTTGGTCTGACCTGTAGCTCGCCAAGCGCGCGCCGTCTACGTGTCAGCACAGCCGCACTGTTTGTTGGCTTCTGTGTCTGAGTGAGCGCCCTCTGCGTGTCAGCACAGACGCACTGTGCGTTGGATTCTGTATCTGAGTGAGCGCCCTCTGCGTGTCAGCACAGACGCACTGTGCGTTGGATTCTGTATCTGAGTGAGCGCCCTCTGCGTGTCAGCACAGACGCACTGTGCGTTG